GGAGCACCGACTACAAAAATGCTCTGACAGTATATTAAATATTAAGGGTGGGGAAAACTAAGTACGATATCCCACACACAATTAGTATACTGCAATAAGGCACAAATACTAGTAAAAAAGCATCAGTCGGAAAAAGTGCTGCAGCACCAAAAATCCTCCTGGAAGACAACACAGAGAGCAATCAGCAGGAACAACAATGTTGGCAACAGGATGTGCCACGTCTGGCTTAAACATGCAGAATTCTTGCCTGCTACTGTACTCAATTCAAGGGCATCTAAAACGGTGATGCAGAGTGACATGCAGCACGCAGGATTGTTGTCCACGTTCACGACTAATCACCGAGAGAAACCAGCCAGCGCCCGAGGAATGTTATTTCAAAAATCAACAGGTCAGAAAAAGACTAAATTACCATGTACACGGGTCAACCATAATGCTGTTATACCCCTAGAGCAACCTGTCTACGACGCCAGAATGTCAGGGGTCAGGACAGGGTAGTGCAGTTTTGCACTTCGTTGTGGTGTGTCCGCCAGTGTATTATGACCGGATGCTCCAAGGGAAACAGACAACAGACCAGAAATAATCAATCGTCAATCACACTAGTATTCAGTTTTAACTTCACTGTAATATTTGTTAACTTATCTCCAGATCACAAAAAAGATGACACGGTTAACCCAATAAGGTTCCAATATAAAAGACAATTCCCCAAAGATATGTTTCTCTAATAAATTCCCCGGACTTAGTAAATTTCTAATCTAAATTCCCCGGACGCCGGTCGGGACCGCCCTCGCTCTACACAGTGGCTGCGTACACAAGAAAAAGCATCTTATTTAGGAGACGTCCAATTGGCTGGACAGTCAACCAGCAATCGTAGGGAGGGTGAATGCACTCTCCCAGCCTCAAGATTACAGCAACAATGGCATATGTGAGAAACAAAAAGCAGAAAAATAGGCCCAATTAAAAACGCTTGTCTCACCATTCGGTGTCAGCCAGAAAAGGAGCGAGTGTTCGTCCGGCGTACGCGGAAGACACATTTCCCTATAATATTCATACGCTAGAACAATACCAAAAATGTTGCAAAATGAAAACACGCAAGTTTAGACCCTATATTAATTATTGAAAATTTTTGTAGGTTAATTACCTTTACATTGGCACGTAAATGATAGATTCCAACGAGACTTTATTACAATATAATTGGACTAAATTGCGTAAGGGCGACAGGCCCTTGGGCGGTAATTTGCCTTCAAGAAGTTTCCAGAAGACAACATTACGGTGTCCCTGAAAAGGCTACCGACCCTCACAACGGTGTGTAAGCAAAAAAAAAGCATCAAATTTTCCGAGGCAATTGATTTTAGGTTTGTCTTCATTTGTATGTAGAATGACTTCCATTTGGATTGCCAAACTACATGTACTTCTGTCATTAAAATATCTTTCTTTAATAAGTCATGACATTCCAACAAAAGTCAAAAGACCGGTTCATCTGAGTTGTGCATTGTAAAAACACAAAAACATTAGCGGAACAGACACTAAATGCAGTAAATACATACAAGTACGCCATACTAAGATTCACCAGTAAAGTCCTTAATTCGACTTTTCTCTTGTTACAGATGTTTACGTGCGAGCTGTGCAAAAAGATATTCAATAAGCGAGGCAACTTCAATCGTCATATTGCTTGCCACAACGATGTCAACCAGCATCAATGCAATGACTGTGGTAAGGTGTTTGCCCGACGGGATAATTATGATGATGGTGCCGAACCCCAAGACCTCGTTCGTATGGTGGTTGTACACCTTGAGCTGGACTTCCCTATAACTTTACCTTTTATCTCCAAGAAACACCTGACAGCAGAGCGCTTCTTATCGAGAGTAGAGATGATTCTCCAATCCTACGAGGAGTTTACGATAAATGCTACGATCGATATTCACATAACTCAGGTTTCTATTCCGCACGGAAGTAAGGCCACGAAGACAAAGTACATCAACATGGAAAGGATTTTAAAGGAAAAACAATGCATATTCAAATCGTCAATAAAGATGAACTCTGCGGCGCACGAGCTATAGTAACGGCAGAAGCAAGAGTCGACGAACACGAGAAGTGGGATGCTATTCGTAAAGGCTTCAAGATATAGCAGACGCTCGCTAAAGAAAAAATTGCATCATCAGGCCGGGTGCATTTGGCAAAGTGCGGAACTGACCAAATTAAACAGTTTAAAGATGTACTTCCCGACTATCAGCTCGTAGTGTGTTCTAGGGACTACGCCAATGCCGTCATTTACAGGGGACCCCAGGCTACCCGACAGATTTATTTGTATCATCACGATGACCACTATAACGACATCACTAGCATGCCAGCCTTCCTCAACCGAAGTTATTTCTGCGTAGAATGTCTCAAAGGCTACGACCACACTGAAGATCACCGATGCCAGGGTTCGTGCTACCTTTGTTTCCAGCCCAAGTGACTGGGTATACTGTTCCGAATGCAATCATTACTTCAGGAGCACTATGTGCTTTGACAACCATCCTAAGCCAAACACGCAGCGCATCAGTTTGTAAAACTCATTTCCGATGTCAAGATTGCGACAGATTTGTCAGTCGAAGACGACACAGAGCCCAAAATCACAGATGTGGAGAAAAGTTCTGTAACGTTTGTAGAGAGTTTGTTCTCCCTGATCATCTTTGTTATTTGCGACCGGTCGTAGGTGGTAAAGACAAACCCGTNATGTAGCCAGAAATGAGATGGCCGAATCAACACGGTCTTCCTTGTAGCACAGGTACACTGCTGCAGAACGGAGCATGCGCATTAACGAGCAGAAGTTCACAGGTACGCTGTAAAAGCATCACATATCCACGCCACATACGCTTAGAACAGAACAGAACTGACTCACATGTAGCACTGTGTAGCACTGGGTTTGTGCACAAGTCAATGGTGTAGCACTTTTTGGTACACGCCGCGGCCCCTTCCTTTTCCATTTTCCCCTGTAGCACTGTGTAGCACTTAGTTTGGACACAAGTCTAGGGTGTAGCACTTTTTGCTACACGCCGCGGCCCCTTCCTTTTCCATTTTCCTGTGTAGCACAGTGTAGTAGCATTTGGTTTGTGCACAAGTCAATGGTGTAGCACTTTTTTTGCTACACGCCACGGCCCCTTCCTGTTTCATTTTCCCGTGTAGCACTGGGTTTGTGAACAAGTCTATGGTCTAGCACTTTTTGCTACACGCCGCGGCCCTTTCCTTTTTCATTTTCCTGTGTAGCACTGTGTAGCACTGGGTTTGTGCACAAAACTATGGTGTAGCACTTTTTGCTACACGGCCTGGCCCCTTCCTTTTTCATTTTCCTGTGTAGCACTGTGTAGCACTTAGTTTGTGCACAAGTCTATGGTGTAGCACTTTAATGCCACACCCCGCTGCACTTTCCTTTTTCCTTTT